CAAGAGTTGGCGGTGGGGGGTGATGACTAGCTTCATTCCCTCTAGTCTGCTAAATTAGGGACGACTAGCGCAGATAGCCCTCGTGTAGCTTTGCGCGAAATCCATAACAAACAAACAAGCAATCTAAAAAAGAAGGGATTATTTAGAGTTATAAAGTTTCCTTCTGCACAGTAGTATTATTTTAGAGAACTGAAATTAAACTGTTGTCTATGATTTACACTGTTAACAGGCTAAGAAACATGTAATATAAACTGAAGTTTACTTCTGTAGTCTATTGTATTTGTTTTAGAGTATTGAAGTGCTTGTTATTACATCTTACTGATGAATAAAAGAAACGAACATTAGTTTTAAACAATAAACTGGGATATCTATGGTCAGTAAGTACTCTTCTGTTTAACCGAAACAATGCGAATCATTTGTAAGAACACTACGTTGATAACTTTGCATTAAAACACGTCAGATAGTTTAAATATTCCTGAAATTTGTTATTTTAGCATGCTGAAATAACCATTTATATAGTGGGTAATTGCTTAATTCACGGTCGATGCTAAACGTGAAGTATTGAATTAATGCAATCGTCTATATGTATTAAGACTATTCAGTTCTTCTTGTATGTTTCTCTAACATAAAATCTGTGTCAGATGCTTATTCCAGTACTTATTAAGTGTTTATTATGTTTTGCAAATTAATTTTGTTTTGTGGTTGATTGATTTCTCAATAAAGTATTTTTCCATAAAAGTTTCATACTTTAAAATTTGATCTAAATTCGCATATGTCATTTTTATAAAAAAAAAAATAGGAAAAGTAATCTTGCCAAGAAATAAGTTAATATATACTTTGTATTCTCAGCTATCATTACTACAGGCAAAAATGGAAAGGACTTACAGTACAGCAACAGTGTGCATTCGAGACAAATGTAATCTGGCACTGGAACCAGGTAACTCCTAATATTTTCCTTTTGTCTGTGTGAAGAAGTATTTTCTGTTGTATATTCAAAGGTTCATTCTCAACACTGAATGTCAGTGTGCCATGTTTGTATTATTTATAGCGGGAATTCAACATTTTTCAATTGTCAAAGTATCAAAATAAATGTTATTTGTCTTCGGATATTAGCGCAAAACTATTCAAGGATTATCTAATCTAGCCGTCCCTAATTCAGAGAGTAACAGAAAAACAGTTAGTCAACAGCACCCACTGACAACTCCTCAGATACTCTTATCTTACCAAATAATGTAATTTGACTGTCATCCATGTTGCATGTAATGCATTCAATTCCCCAAAGTTCAGAGATCGACTATTTGACGTAAACAGTGGATCCTCTGAACCACATTCCAGCATGCTAACTATTGAGTTACACTCAGCCCAAAAAAAGTAATATATTAATGAACATTAAAAAGTTACAACTGTTGGATATGTAAAACTGAACTTTCTGATGATCACCAACAAAAAATATAGAAATACGAACACGAAAGAAACTATTTTTTATAAATTTTTTACTGTTTGTTTGTAATTATGCACAAAGCTACACATTGGGCCACCTGTGCTCTGCCAAACACGGGTATCGAAACCCGGATTCTAGCGTTGTAAGTCCGCAGACATACCGCTGTGCCACTGGGGGGGGGCAGATTTCTTTTTTACTTCGAAGATTTTGAAAAGTTAAAAACACGATACAAATACTATGTAAAATTTTAGGACATTTTCGTCTGTACTAAGTCTCATGCAATATGTTTAACATGAACTAAAAAAAGAGAGAGACAGTCCACCGAATTGCAGTGTTATATCTTGAAAGCTGCCAGTCATGAGAAACCATAAGGCCTAACACTCGTGATAAAATCACGCTTGACATCTATTTTTTAAATACTTTTCTTAATCATTTCATTTTTCTATGTAGCACAAGAAAGAAAAAAAAGAAAATAAAAGTTTTATATTTTACATTCTTTTGAAAGAAGCACAAATGTATAATATCATGTAAAAGTATAACAACAATGAGTAAAATATTGTTAAAATAAGCTCTTTTAAAAGCCCAATGCTACCACTAATATTAGGTGTAAGTTGGGAGCAATGCCTGGTATTAGAATCATTACGTACTATATAGGAAAGCCTAATTTTTTGGCCATAAACAAAAGCTCTAAAATAAGTAGTCTTAGTTATTTGTTTGTTCTGTCCAATGAGACTGAGTGTAGCCTGTCAGTTGTTTTGGAAAACGCTCTACTACGTACGGTACTGGAAATAATTATGGAAGCAGTAAATAAAATGTGAATAAATACAAATATTGTGAAATTTCTCTCCTCTATTGAATGAAAATGCACCAGAGTCCAATTGATTGTTCAGAATAACGTCAATAAAAGTATAGGTTGTTACAAACAAACGTGTAGTGATCGAAGTTTTGGCTGTGTGGAAACCCTGAAGAGGGTTCGTAAAACTATTACTCTTGGTAATACAAGTGTTCAAGGTAGAAAGATCAAATTCTTAAAAAAAAGCAATGTAAAATAAATCAGGGCATGTTATATACACAACAATTCGTGTCAGTGACACAGCTATAAGTATAGATGTTATTTTAAAACAATAAGATACACGTTAGAACAAAGTGGCTTTAACGGATGTGTATCTGCTCAAAAGTAACTTCTTAACAAATTAGCTTGTCGACATTCACTATTAAAGAGAACCAGGACCGTATCTTGAAGCATTTCTGAATAGAATAAATTGTTTGACATTTTACAACTCATTTCTGCAGTTGCTTATATTTATTTTACACACACACAAAAGTACACTATTTCAAAGTGTTTTACCAACGTAAAACTAGCATTGAAATCAAAAATAATAACGCTATGATATATGAATGTTAATTAATCAGTTTTAAAAAATTCTATAATATATTTTTATATATCTGGCTGTTGTCAATAGTTGTTGTAAGGAAATGGCTGAACCAATTTCGATGAAATTTGCTAGAAGAATTCCGTTTCAAATGAAAAGTAATCAAACGAAAGCTTCGAATTTGGCAGCTATTTCATGGTAAAATACGTGAAACAGACGCCAAGAAAGTGACGATTAATGCCGTGTGTAGCACGGGTACCCATGAACTGAACGAACCGTTCCTATCCTATGTTAAAATTAATAAAAGGGGAAGCCCACGACCCTCATTTAGAGTATTATTTTTAATGCTGGTTACTCTGCTAGCACACACACACATATAAACATATCTGGACTAATTCCACATTAGAAAGCGTACAGAAGACATTATGTATGGTTAAATGTGTGTTCAATAACAAACTGCACCACAAGATATTAATAAATGACAAAAAATAAGAGACCTTTAGCGTTTTAAATGTTTTTGTATATTCAAGATTTGACTCGTATACTGGCTTCATCACGTGACTACGAAGAATTGAAGGAGGTGTGGCTAAAATGGAGAGATGCTGCAGGAAAGCCTATCAGGGATCAATACATTGAAGTCACGAAACTAGGAAACGAGGCAGCAACGGGCAATGGTAAACTGAACTTTCTTTAGGTTCTTAATTTATAGGTTTTAGTTTCGGGTTTATAGATTTCAGGTATTAAGTATTTCTAGTCAGTTTGTTGTACGGGATTATCATTATTAAATTAATGTAATTTTCTTTTATGCTTTTTGATCAAAGATTCAATAAATACTGAATAGCACAGGAGGTTAAGATGTAGATAGAACTGTAACAGTTATATTGTACTTCTTTATACATTCTATCCTTTCTACATGTGTGAGGTTTAGCTTAATTGGTTTTTGATAAATTTATAGGTTAAAATAAATGACTACAAATGATACAATAGAAAAAATGGTATAATAATAATTGAGAAAAAAAAATACTTCACTTAGGGTGACCAGTAAAAACTTGTAGATTTCAGAAAACTATTTCAATGCGATTCTAATATGAATCAACACAGGATGACAGGCCCATCTAATCGTTCGTTCCTATGGTAATGTAATGCAGAATTGTTTATAGGAAGAATATGAGTTGATTTGCACAATTATAATGTTGTAACAGCTAAGGATCTTGTTGAATTATGTTGTAGAACTGATAAAATGGAAGATATTGAGATCTGTGTTATATTACGGTATAGAATTGATGAAGTGGAAGCTACTAAGGTCTATGTTATTCATAATGTTAGAAAAACACGTAGGTTCAAGAAGTCTTGATAGAAGTGAATAAGAACCCTAAAACCCGAGTGCTTTTGAAAAGTGGACCATTCTTTTTCAGGGGCAAGTTGGCATTGCCAATTTGCCCCTGATGAAGAAAGGTCCACCTTTCCAAAGTGCTCGGGTTATAGGGTTTTTATTCACTTTAAGGTCTATGTTATATTATGCTGTAGAACTGATGAAGTGGAAACTACATAGGTTTATGTTATATTCTTTTATGAACTAATACTTTAATATTTTGTGGCAAAACAACAAGACGGTCGTGGCTATGATTCATTTGTGATGTATAACAAGCTTTCTATACATGATAACGTTGTAATGATTAAATGTTTTCTTGAGTGTTATTGTTTACATTTTATTGCGCTTCTGGCTGTTATCCATGCAATGTAACACAGGTATATCTATTTTCTTTCAGGTTTCTCAGATTTAAGTGAAATGTGGTTGGCACCCTACGAGTCTGAGACGTTTCGAGATGACGTCGAGAGTCTGTGGAACCAGCTTCGTCCTCTGTATCAGAAAATCCATGCTTATGTCAGAATGAAATTACGTGACATATATGGAGACAAAATGCCAAAAGATGGGACAATTCCTGCCCATCTCTTGGGTATGTCCGTTACTTGATGTCTGCTTTTGAGCTTAGTTATACTAATTTTGCTTTATAAAACTTGTTTTGTAACGAAATTATACCTGCTGCAAGAAACGTCAGGATATACGACTACTTCAGACCATTTACTAAAGTATGTTCATCATAAAACAATTTTTTAAATTCTGGTTATATAAGAGACCCATTGGTTTTACATGTTATTGTATTCAATGGTTATTTACGACTAACTTTGTAGACCTTACGAGAACTAATTAACGTATATGGAGTAAATGTGTCTCTGTCTAAAAAAAAAAGTCAAAATAAACACTAGTAATGAAATACGTACCAAACATATTGAATATTTTTTAGGGAATATGTGGGCACAGACTTGGACATCTCTTCTCGATGACTTGAAGCCGTTTGACAAACCAAGTATTGACGTAACAAAGAAAATGCAAGAACTGGTGAGTTTCCTGTGTATTGTATTGTAACCATTGTTCAACAGCAGCCGTTAATTTACTCTTAATTCTGTACATTGATGTAAGCCAGAAGAATGTTTCTTGTACCAGTAAGGTGGAGATTAACTGTTTTATTTACATAGTTATCTTGATATTTGTATTTTCACAAATATGTAAATAAAAATACAAAAATATCAGGATCTTGAGGTAAACCCATTATTTAAATTCTGAAACGTTTTAATTCAAACAGAGTAATTGTTACGATTTATTTAGAACTGGGATGCAGAGAAGATGTTTCAAGTTTCTGAGGAATTTTTCACTTCACTTGGACTTATTCCAATGCCACCGGAATTCTGGGAACATTCGATGTTAACGAAACCGAAGGATAGAGACGTTGTTTGTCACGCTTCTGCATGGGACTTTTACAATGGAAAAGATTTTAGGTGAGACTTCAATTTTACACTGAAAAACTGACATTAATACAATGATAACCTTGATCATTTCACATGTACAGATGAAGAACAAGAAATTCTACTGTTTCTTCATTAGCTCTTAACACTGTAATTTCTAAACCTGAATGATGACTTATGTAAGATATTGGCTAAATGACCAGTTTAGAGACCCTTAATATTCAGGTATAGCGGTCTCTAATTTAGAAATGCTGACCAGAAGAAGGGCCAGCATCACACGCTGCCTGTGCGATTATCTTAAAACGAATAGCTGTATTGAATCTCACTGGTATAACGTCCCCCTCAGTTGGAAGTAACGGAGCGTGTTCAGAGGTATCGAAGCTTAAACCTTGGTTCTTAAGATCTACAGCCCGGTGTACTAGCCACTAGATCACACCTGACACAAGTAGTATGTTTAGAGAAATTATAAACGAATAATAGCACTTAGCAAACACTTAAACATCGATATAATGAGGTAAAAGAGAATAAAGGTAAGTTGAACATCAAACCTGCAGACCTATGCGTATAGCAACATATTCGATTAAATGTCTTGAAATGTTACTAAAAACGATTAATTAAATATAACGACTGTTGTGTAATGACACGTTATCATTCTCTCAGGATAGCTGTCTGCCTAACTATGTATCAATCCATCTGTCTATCACATAAGTAGCTTTTTTATAAACTTAATTGTGGTTCTTGTGTTACACTTTTGTGCCATTTGAGGAAAGGTTGTGGAGGAAGATTACAAACAATCTCATTATCTCACCTGTTTTCGAACAACCAGTTTTTGTAGCATTGAAGCTTAGACAGGAGAAAATATCATTTGATAGAAACCTTTCGAGGTTTTAGACAAATAACGTTACGGTCTCTGTAGCAACTGATTTTAAGTGAGACTTTATTTCTAGATAAGCAGGTTAGCTATTCTGATGCGTTTATTTACAGAAAATAATGACAATAACATATAAACTTTGCTGGATTCAATTGTATATGTAATGCAGCATAAGTCATTTCTCAAACACATTTCTTTCCTAACTCTTAACAGCTTGTTTAGACAATGCTAAACAGTTTGGACCGTGACGTTAACAAGTTTGCAGTTGTCGTCCTCCGAGTATGTAATGAACGTGCCTTAAGTAAATCATCTAATCCTTAATAGCTGTAAACTAAGATAAAACTTTAATAAAGACACGGACTATTTCCCTATGTTATAAGGATCGATTGAAGTTTTGGTTTGAACTCTTTCTGCAGAAGCTTCAAGTAAAGCTACTAACTGCAAATATCTAAATCTCTTATTAGCTAACACAAATATATTATATATCCACAGTTTTTTACTAAGTTACTTGTTTAACTAACATAGATATGGTTCGACCCAGTACTCAATAATAATTATTTATAGATCAATAATTAGGCTAGTTTTCCGCGCATCACAGATATATCACTTAAAACAATCAATGGGATATGTATAAATCACGTTGGCCATAAACCGTTTGATATCTGGGCAATAGAAGGGTTAATGAATTCGGTTTACTTATACTGGTTTTGTTCTCCAACTTCCTTAATGTTCATTAGGTTTTCCCATTACTAATTTATGAATTTCTTCCTTGGTGTTCTTGAAACAAAGTAATAATTTTAAATCTTTGTGGTTTTTATTAGTGACAATCAGTTTTTGTTAACACCAAACTATTACTTAAGTTAAACTGAAATCCCTGGGTATTAATTTATAAACAGATAATTTTTTATGGAGGAAAATCAACCTTTTTAATTTTTTCAAAAGAATTATTTTCTGGTTCATAAGTGTTTTTTCGAGGTGGGCAGAAACTGCCGTATTTGATTTTTTCATTCACTGTATAATGCACAGAAAAAATAAACTCAATTCAAGAAAACATTGCTCTTGATACAAATACTCAAGAATATGGAGTACACAGATTTCTTTGAGATGTGTACTTACTAGCTAAGTTGCACTTATACCACACTCTCTTCATAAACAATGATAAGTATTAAAAAGTATTCAAGAAAACATTGCTCTTGATACAAATACTCAAGAATATGGAGTACACAGATTTCTTTGAGATGTGTACTTACTAGCTAAGTTGCACTTATACCACACTCTCTTCATAAACAATGATAAGTATTAAAAAGCGTTGAGAAAAAGCAGTCATTTTAAGTTGTTCTTTTCAACATAAGTCGTCCCTTTAGCCCATCAATCTCCGATAGCTCAATGGTAAGCTTGAGGGCTTTTAAAACTAAAATTCGGGTACTATGACGGGTACAGCACAAGTAGCCTATTGTATAGCTTTGCTCTTAACGGTAATCGAACATATAAAAACTGAAACAAAATTATATTAAATATGCTTTTGTTCAGAAAAAATATTTTCATTTTTTGATAGTTTTATAACACTGAATTTGATAAACAGACACGATATATTAGTGGTAAGGTGAAGTTATAAATCCAACTCCACTTGGTGCAAAAAAAATCTAACTGATAAGGTTCTAAAGGTTTCAAACCTATAAAGTTAACAAAGGTGCTTCTCAATGAAATAGATATGTTACACTGGACAAATTCTTACAATATAGTGACTCTTTACAGCTGACGAATTTAAGATTCGTGATGAACGTCAAGATAAAGGGAAGAGACAGCTAAATAGACAAACATGTCGGTTGTTAATTGTTTAGCCTACACGCTATTAACATGTCTTATCAGTAATAAGGAAGGTCATCATAGTTCGAAGAATGCCCATTGAACATGTTTGTTAAGACTACGATCACCATGAGCCCAGCACAGAACTAAAGAGGACATGACTCATAATTCTGAGTTCCATTGTTATAACATTGAACCAATCTATTGTTATAACATTTAACTGTTCTTTTGTTATAATATTGAACCGTTTGTTGTTACATCATTGAGCCGTTCTGTTGTTACAACACTGAACCATTCTATTATTTCAAGAATGAACCGTTCTAGTAACTAGAAAACTGAATTCTTCTGTTTTTACTACATGAACCGTTCGATTTATATTACACTGAACCCTTCTGTTTTACATTTTACCGCTTCTGTGTTACAACATTGAACCATTCTGTTATTTCAACATTGAATTGAACTTTTCTATTGTAGGAGCATTGAACCATTCTATTGTTACAACATTGAACTATTTTATTCTTTCGACATTGAACCGTTCTACTGTTGGAAGCATTGAACCTTTATCTTGTTACGACATTGAACAGTTCTGTTGTTACAGGTGCTAGTAGACCTCTTCCTCCCTCCTTGACGATTTTGATAACAACAAACAAATGCTACACGATTAATTCACGAGATTAGCACACAAACATTAAAATTGCAATTTAAATACACTAATCCTTCTTCCCTCTTCAGAGCTATCTCCATGAATTTTAAACTTATAGCATTCAGTGCTTCTTTGCCACTTCTCTTCATTTGGTTGTGTAATAACACTTCGCAAACAGTTCACTGACAAATAATCATTTTCACTAGATCAATGTATCAGATGCGTATTTCACATAAATACTCTATATATACACCTTTGTTACATTACTCTAGGTGATATTGTAATATATTGTTATATGTGACTTGTTTAGTACTATACCCTGGATATTGTTGTATTGTGTCTTGAATGTTTAGATGAGTAGAGAGCATATGAATGACTGAATTACGTAAGGAATTATCGGTGCGAAATGTTTCTTAGCTATTTCAAAAGAAAAGTAATGCTATTTTGCTAATTTAGAAGGTTTTTATATGCTCTGATGAAATCGATATATAGTCTTTTTGACTGCTTCTATTATAGGGTTGTTTTTTGTATTTGTAAATAATGTTACTGATGTTTTTGGTATATTTGGTTGCGGGATATTTGTTGGTTGAGCATTGGTGTGATTTGTAGTTATGTTAGATTGTTGTTCACTGCCTCAGAAAAACATTTACACACTTTTTTTAACGTTAATAACGTTAAGTTTTATTTACCAATAGGATCAAGCAGTGTACTGACGTGACTACAGAGCAGCTAATCACCGTTCACCACGAGATGGGACACGTAGAATATTTTCTTCAGTACAAAAATCAGCCCGTAGTTTTTAGAGATGGAGCAAATCCAGGTTAGTGATTACTTCAATTTTACGCCCTCTCGATTTCCATCAAAAATATGTTTTTGTCACGTTTACAAACACATGTAATTGCTATAAACTATTTTCGTCTCTCTAATAATGCCTTACAGAAGACAATTACTTTTGGAATACACGTCAGGTCTTAGGCACTCTACATTAGTGTATGGGTTAAAAAAAAAGCTTAATTTCAAACCACTGTAACTGTTCAAATTTGATAGATGTTGAACAGATGAAATATATACATGTTTAGTGTACACAAAGAAGCCTATATATCTGTTACAAATTTCCTTTTCCTTTAATGTATTAATTTAATATAATATTAATAATAACCCTTTCCCACTGTTCTGGCCCCCCAGTGGCGCAGCAGTATGTTTGCGGACTTCCCACACTAGAAACCGAGTTTCGATACCCGTGGTGGGAAAGCAAAGATAGCTCATTGTGTAGATTTGTTCTTAACTTCAAACAAACAAACTACTGTTCTGTTAAACTTTTGTTAACTTGAAGTTTACCTAACATGATGCTATGCATGTCAAATCAAAAATAAATTGATTTATGTTTTACAAATGTTTTTAAACGGATATTTAGATTCTTCCCAGATACGAAGTTTTGTCCTCATCACTTCAGAATCAGGTTGTGAATTTGTTATAAATCCAGAATGTTTTTTAACTGTCATTAAATTGGTAGGCACCTCACTGCTAAACAAGCGTTTTGTCATTCCCATATGGATATTTAAGTTACACACTATGATACGAATGGTTTCTTATCATCGTTAACAATCTTGGGGACTTTTAAGGATTTATTCTAGACAGGAATTGTTTCTTTTTTCCTTTTTTTTTGGAAGTTTGTTTTAATCAGCGACCAATTATTAAATTTAAGAATCACTAGTTGACACATTAACATTCAAATGAAAATGCTCAAAATTATGTTTATTGAAGTAGTAGCGCAGAGTTCAGTTTTTGGGATATTCAGACAACAGTAATTAGTAAGTCGTTAAAACATACTTATCAACGAAAAAAAATGAACAAAACCTCTGAAAGCTAATGAAATAAATCGCTCCGAGAAATACCGTATTGGCCCGATTATAAGGCGATGTTTTTTTTATTAATAATTAAGCTGTAAAATTCACAGTCGCTTTATGATCGCGGCCGACCACAGGCCTCTTCCTACTTTAGCTTATCGCATTCCTGAATGTCCGGATAGCATTCGTATAGCATGTGCACCAGATGTTCGCTCAAGATCATCCCTAATTCTTGAAACTAATCCACCTGCCGGCTGTTCAGTTATAGTATTGATTTCGTGGACCTACAAAAGGACTTTATGACACTCAATTTTTTATTTCCCTGGGTTTTTGAAAATGGGGTCGCCTTATTATCGAGATCGACCTATAATCGGGCCAATACGGTAATTTAAAAGTGAACATACACTTTATGTAAACGAACTTATCTCGATTTGCATTACATGTCATATAAGTGTTTGTATTGTGTGTCTGTCGCAGAGGATGTGTGTTTTGTTTGCACATACTGTACGTGTATCTACTTAGATGTATATCATACCGTAATATCCGATCATGTAGAAGATCAGCCTTAGTGATCATCGCAATAATACAAAGTGGCATCTTTCTTGGTTTCAATAGCTGCTGTTTGTTTTACGGTGCATGCTCTCATGTGATTGGGTCCTGACAAGTGTTTCAATTATCATTCTAAGAGATCAGCAATTGATGAGTGGAAGGCTGCGACCATATCTTTAAAGATACTACCTCCACGTGGTCTCATATATAGGGTAAAATCTTGTTTCTGTGTACGCCATTCCGATATGAGGATATTGTTAAGACATATGACAGGAGCATTATCTCGTTCATCATGTGTTGTGATACATCTGGCAAAACAATGTATCTGTTGTATAAGAATATACAGACTGTGTAGGTTGTATGTAATACCATTACATGTGTGCTACATATGTATCTCTTGTAAATGTACCCACTTGGTGTTGTTTATATACATATTGTACATTTATCAAACTGAATGTTTTTCTATATGTATTTGTTATACGGATATCTAACAGATTGTACGTCATAGATTTAATTCCTTTTCATGTATTTAGTTGAGCATGTTTTACACAAACACATATACATATTTTAGTGTGTGTGTGTTTTAACTGTATACTAGAGAAGTACATGTTGTATGTACATATGCATACGTATGTATATGGGGCATGTGTATCTATGTGTTTATGTGTGATTTTTGCTCTTTTAATCAAGTTTAAATAATTGATTTTACAATTCCAATTTTACTTGGTATAATATGCACCCGAGTGGTGCCGGCTGTTCTTTCTTCCTGTGTATTTTGGTCATTTTATTTGTATCTAATAATTTTCGTAATTCTTCAATGTACTAGAGAATGTTAAAGGTTATTGTTCCTCAACGTGATGATGATTTCTATATATATATATATATATATTTGATAAAATACTCAAGTTCAGACTCTGTACAAGTTGTTATAACTTTTACTGTTGCCAAACCGTCCTAAGAAAATGAAAATATTTCTGAAGAGATGAAACTGAGACTGGGTGGAACTCAAACCCGCAACTCTACTTGCTAGACACATGCTTTAACCAACTGCGATAGATACCCCTTCCCAAAACTACCTTGCTTCTCTTTTATTCAACATATTTCACAGACTATCTTTTGTTTTTCACTTATCTCACTTTTCAATAGTGAATATGATGTGTTGTTAAATTCTAACGTTGTTCAGCAGAAAAAAACAACACAAAAATCGTTCATATTGTAAGAATCTATATAAATATAACAGTGCTATTTTCAAAACAAGACCCAAAACTCGAGCACTTTCGAATAGTTGACTATTCTTCTTCGGGAGTATAATAGTACTGCCCATTTAACAACTTCGCAAGGTGTGGATGGATCTTTACCAAATTTTGGTATGGACGTTCATTAGGTCTATGGAGAGACGGGTACTCCAGCTAGTATACTATAAGAGTACATTATATATTTGTTTCTTGTTAAGCGATTATAATTACAAATCATTGTTCAGATTGTACACAGAAAACTGCAGTTCTTGTGGTTGGGACCGTTTTTCTTATAATATTGCATAAAACGGATCCCAAGAGTGGGTAGAAATGTGTTTCATTTAACTCATAACTACTGCAATTTAAAACAAATGCTGCATTAACATCACTTAAATCATCATTTAAATGCTCCCGGCCATGCACTATGATAGTCGCGTATTATCTAGAGCAAAAGTATTATAAAAACTCACTGGAACTGAGGTATGATTTTTACGACATATTGCCGAATCTGCTTTCTATAATTCGTCATTGTTTGAAATTCGCTGAAATACCTACTCTGTAGCTTTGAAAACTTCAAACTGCTTACATTAGACCACATTCGCGCCTTTCTGCCGGTGTGTTTAAGCACAAGGTTGTATGAACAATAGTTGTTAAATATAAATCATAACTGATGATATAGAGTGGTGGACGCTTTACCGAAGGGGACCGTCTTAACTCACTTTCACGTATACCACTCAACTAACTACGTGATTAACAATATAATGTGATAAAATACACAAATATGATGTTTAGAGCATATTAATATTCATATATCGTCCAACTAACCAAACAGTTAAGATCTTAAAGTAAAGAAATACACAAATATGTTGTTTAGAGTACATTAATATCTATATACCACCCAATAACCACGAAATTAATATTATAAAGTGTTGAAATTCACAAATATAATACACTGTTTACAATTCCTTAATATCAATATGAACGTGGTAATATCATACGTGTCAGCAAAAAGTTTTTATAGATAAATATATAGGTAAAATACAAAAACTTAAACAAAAATTCTCAGTTTAACTTAATTCAATTTGCCTATTGCACTATTTTATATTACTAATATTAAGATAACCAGTTATGACACCAATAGGCTTAACAAGGTGGTTATCGTTATATTTAACAGTTGGTGACGGATATCTAGATATTCAACAGAATACCTACACATATCTGTATTATATATACTATACGTCTTATACCTACATATATCTGTATTATATATGTCTTATTTCTACACAGATCTGTATTATATGTCTTATACCTACACATATCTGTATTATATATGTTTTATATCTACACATATCTATATTATATATGTTTTATATCTACACATATCTATATTATATATGTCTTATATCTACACATATCTATATTATATATGTTTTATATCTACACATATCTATATTATATATGTCTTATATCTACACATATCTATATTATATATGTCTTATATCTACACATATCTATATTATATATGTCTTATATCTACACATATCTATATTATATATGTTTTATATCTACACATATCTATATTATATATGTCTTATATCTACACATATCTATATTATATATGTCTTATATCACTGTTAATAACAAAAGTTAGGAACAATACATTATATATATATATATATATAT